TTTGATCACTTCAGGAAGTTTGAGACAAGTCAACATCAGCCCTGACTCCTCTCCTCCTCCTCCTCCTCCTCTCCCTCTCTGCCTCCTCCCCTCTTGTCCTCCTGCACCTCCTCCAACTCCACCTCTCCTCTCCTCCTTCACCTCCTCCTCCCATTCTCTCATCTCATTCACCTCACCATCAAACCTGTTGAACCAAACCACATGAAAATGTTATAAAAAAGGGATGAACATGAATTTCAATGAACTGGTGAAGAGCTGGTTCGTTTGAATGACTCTTTTAATTTGTGTTGTTTGATAGAAGGCGTGTGATGTTGACCTGGTGGGAGGTGGACGGGGGGAGGAGTTTGACCTGCTGACGGAGGAGGAGGAGGGGGCAGATGGAATGGGAGGTTTCGACCAGGAAGGAGGATCCTGCATGTTCGACTGAGGCCTGAACACAAACAGATTTATAGGTTTCTGCAAAGTTCATTAATTAAATGTAAAACTTTTTAACAATCACACAGAATAATATTTGATAAAAACTTTCACAGTCACTTAAACAATTAAACTGTGAGTGAAGAAACCTCCTGACATTAATATCACATCAAAACTAACAATAATTAATTAACTCAACCTTCACTTTGATTAATGGATTAATTCATTTAGCTTGATGGAAGTTTTTACTTCCTGTTACTGTTATTAACTGTTTTTAATCACTTACTTCCAGGATGGTGCAATCGGCTGAAAGAAACAGAAATAAAATTCAAACGATAAAACACAAGGAGAAAAGCGTTACCATTTTATTTTTAAAAAAGTGACAGAGACGTTTTCAGTGTCCAGTTTTAAGACAGCGGAGTTCCTCAGGGTTCTGGTCTCAGCCCCTTTTGGTTTTTAATTCTCTATATTTGTTTGGGCTGAATTTAAAATCACATGAACATGAGTTCTGAGATGTAAAGAGCACAGTGTGAGATTATCTTACTCTGCTAAGCTACTATTGTTAAATAAAGTTTATTCAAATGAAAACTCACCCTGTCCGTTGAGTGAGGTCCTGCGAAGACGAGAGAATCATAAGTTCATTCTCAGTTC